AAGCCAACACGAGTGCTCAGCAGATAGGAGTCTGTGCAGCAGCCAGACTCTCACCCTGCAGCTCTAAGTTTTGGAACAGTGTGATGCTTGCATCATTTTCTGCAGCCTCCTGGTCACAGGATCCCAGCTGCAGTGCTGTGTTGTGGCGTCCAGGGCCAGCCTTCTGGGGCAGGCACCAGATCCCCTTCATTACTTATGTACTTGAAATACCTTAACAGATTTTGTTTTCCACACTAAACTATAACAGATACTATGCATGCTTTTCATTACGCTCTGCTTGTGTTCAGGTAGTCGCAAAGTCATCATTAATTACTTTCTTCTTGTATAATTATTGTGTTATTGACTGTCACTGTTTTCAAGTGCAGTACTTTGTCATCACCAAGTGATTTTCCCACCAGAAACTGATATAGGTGCACTCAGGGTCTGCGAGATCTGTATCTTTCCTACTTGGATTATAACTGCAAACTTTGGAGAATCTCCAATCTAAATTCCCTATTTCAGCCAAACTAGCCTGGCTGCTGTACTGGTAACATACCAAGTGTCAACCACAGCTCTTGTTATTTCTTGAGTCAAACGCCACCTCTACTACTCACTCATACACAAACGCTACTTATCCCTGAAGGACCTGTTCTACGCCGATCCCTTCTCTAACTTGTGAAAGAAAACCCCCACGAGCACAGTTAAAGTCTTCGAGGGAAAAGACACCAGACCTCACAACTTCCAACACACTGGTGGTCAAAGTCTGTGGAAGACAATCAGCGTCTGAGGGTAACGTTTCCCTTCTAATTATTTTGATTGTCAGGAAGGACTTTCTCGAGAGTCCTGCGTTCACACCATCAGAGTTCACAGAAAATATAAAACAAGAAAGTAAAGGCAAGGAACAAAGTTCACACAACTACTAAAGAAGAGACTGAGTGAAGGAAGGCCTAACCGACCTCGGGTACAAGCAAAGAATGTGAGTTACTCTGGGGAAGTAAAAAGAGCCCAGGATCGGGGCTGCGCAGTGGAGTAGGTTAATCCTCCATGTGTGGCGCAGGCATCCCATATGGGCACTGGTTCTAGTCCTGGCTGTTCCACTTCCAATCCAGCTCTCTGCTATGGCCTGGGAAAGCAGTACAAGATGGCCCAAGTGCTTGGGCCCCTGCACCCAGCTGGGAGACCGGGAAGAAGCTCCTGGCTCCTGGCTTCGGATTGGCGCAGCTCCAGACGTTGCAGCCATTTGGGGAGTGAACCAAGGGAAAGAAGATCTTTCTGTCTTTCCCTCTCACTGTCTGTAACTCTACCTCTCAAATAAAATAAATAAAATCTTAAAAAGAAAAAAAATAAGAGCCTGGGATTGTGGCTACAATATTCTCTTCATTTCAATCATTAATGCAAACAGGGTCCACGTGGAGCCAGTGGGCATCCATCTGACTGTTCTGAGGCATCTGTTCTCACTGGCCGTTTCTGCCATTCCAGTCTTCAAGTATTTTGAATATCCTACCTCTCCGTATAACCAATAATTAAATGTGCATATAGAGAAAATTTCTTGCTCTAAATTTTGTTTTCCTAGTTTTTTTTATCCTATCCTCCATGATAATAATTTAAAAACACTGCTCCCTTCAAGGCTCTCATCTCATCCCTTGAAGCTAACACAGCCCTGGACACGCACTCTGAAGTTCTGCTGAGTCACTAATTCTGACTCACACTCAGATCAGAACCCCACAGGGCATTCCTCCCTACTCTTTATTTACTTTAAAAATTTTTTTTAATTTTTAATTTTTTATTTGACAGAGTTAGACAGTGAGAGAGAGAGACAGAGAGAAAGGTCTTCCTTCCGTTGGTTCACCCCACAAATGGAAGCTATGGGTGGAGCTACACCAATCTGAAGCCAGGAGCCAGGTGCTTCCTCCTGGTCTCCCACGCAGGTGCAGGGGCCAAGCACTTGGGCCATCCTCCACTGCCTTCCTGGGCCACAGCAGAGAGCTGGACTGGAAGAGGGGCAACTGGGACTAGAACCCGGCGCCCATTCTAGAGGATGGTTCAGTGCTCTTACTCCATCAATGGCTTTGTCCTTAAGGTCTCCCCACTATTAAACCTTTTACTTTTTCCTCTTAGAGGATGGTTCGGTACTCTCACTCCATCAATGGCTTTGTCCTCAAGGTCTCCCCTCTCAGAGATGCTCCCTGCACTATGTCTCCCGACCCAACCTGCTCATCTGTGCATTTCTTTCAACTTTGTCTTGGTTTTCTCCATGCATGTAGATCTCACTACCTCATAACCATACTTCAGCCAAGCTGAATTGTCTTTTTCCATCCCCTCTTACCCAAGAATACTTAAAAGTCAGAAATCGCCCATTAACTACCAGTTTATTTTATGTTATTTCAGTCTCCACCTCACCCAATCTCTCGACACCATTTGTCACCACTGACCACTTTCTCCTTTTTTCATAAATATATAACATTTTATATATTAATATATAATATCATCTATATAAAACATATTAACAGAAAATTTCTATGGTGTGTAATGTTTCGATACATGAACACACTGTGTAATGTTCATAGTTGGGTAAGCCTATCGATATTCTCAAATATTTATCATTTGTTTGTGGCTTTTATGAGATATTACAGTGCAGCATCATTATCTACAGTCACAGAGTGTGACAGAGCACCGGAACACAGGTTCCCTATCTCACTGTAACTTGGTACCCCTTGGCCAACCTTTCCCTGTCCCTCTCTCCTTCCTAAACAACTGAGCCTCTGATAACCACTATTCCACTCTCAGTTCCTATGAGATCAATACTTCCAGACTGCACACATGGGATCTTTCACTATTTGTCTTTCTGGACTTGGCTTGTTTCACTTAACTCAATGACTGCCAGTTTCATCCACATTGCTGCAAATGACAGGAGTTCATTTGTTTTTATGGCTGAAGAGTATTTCTTTGTGTATCTATATTATATTTTCTTTTTCCATTCACCATGCGGTAACATGCTACTTCCATTTCTTGGTTATTGTGAATAATGCTGTTATAAACATAGGAATGCAAATGTCTGACACAATGATTTCATTTCCCTGGGATACGTATCCAGTGGTGGGACTGCTGGATCATACGGCAGTTCTATTTTTAACTTTCTGACAAACATCCTTAGTTTTACATAATGGCTCTATTAGCTTCTATTCCCACCAATGGGGTGTACGGGTTCCCTTTGCTGCACATCCTCATCGGCACTGTCTTCTGTCTTTCTGACAGTGCCAACTTAACTAGGCTGAGTCACACTTCCTTTTGGTCTTGATTTCTATTTCCTTGATGGTTAGTGATGCAGAGAATTTTTCCATAAACCTGTTAGCTACTTGTATGTCTTCTTTTAAGACATGTCTTGGGTATGTTGCCAAGTTATTTTAACAGCTTTTTTTTTTTACTTTTATGCTATTGAGTTGTTTGAATTCCTTATACACTCTTGCTTCTAACCCCTAATGAGATGCAGTTTGCAAAATATTTTCTTCCTCTTCATGGGTTCTCTCTTTACTTTGCTGATTGTTTCCTGTGCTGTGCAAAAGTTAGTTTGATGAAATCCCACTTGTCTATTTTTTATTTTGTTTCCTGTCCTTTTAGGACCTGATCAAAAAAAAAAAAATCTTGCCAATTCTAATGTCCTGAAACATTTCTCCTGTTTTCTTCTAGTGGTTTCAAAGTTCTACATTTTTTTTCTGTAAGATTTATTTATTCAATTAAAAGGCAGAATTGCAGAGAGAAAGGCAGAGACAAAGAGAGAGGGAGATTCTCTACACACTGGTGCATTCCCCAGATGGCCAGGCCAGGAATTCTATCTAGATTTCTCATGTGGGTGGAGGGGCAAAAGCACTTGGGCCATCTTCTGCTCCCTTCCCAGGTGCATTAACAGGGAGCTAGATCAGAAGTGGAGCAGCTGGGACTCAAACCAGTGCTCATATGGGATGCCAGCATTGCAGGCAGTGACCTAACCCTTTCTGAGACAATGCCAGGCCCAAGTTTTAAGTCTTATAGTTAGGTTTTGAATCCATTTTGAGTTGATTTTTTTTTTGCATGAGAGAGAGGGATTTAGTTTTTTCCTCCACATGCAGGTATCCAGCTTACCCAGCATCACTTATTGAAGAGCCTGTACTTCCCTGATGCATGCTCTTAGCATTTCTCTCAAAAATCAGTTAGTTGCAAATGTGGGTTTATTTCAAGGTTCTTAGTCTGCTCCACACGTTTTTGTGTCTAGTTTTATGAAAATACTAGGCTGTTTTGATTACATTTTGTGGTGTATTTTGAAGGCATGTAGTGTAATGCCAATAGTTTTATTCTTTTGCCTAAAGAATTCTTTGGCTACTAGCATTTTTTTGTGATTCCATACAAATTTTAGGACTTTTTCTAGTTTTATGAAAAAATGTCATTAGTATTTTGATAGAGAATGCATTCAATCTGTGTTATCACTTTGGACAGTATGGCTATTTTAAAGATAAGATTCCTCCAATCCATGAACATGGGTGGTTTTCCATTTCTTTGTGTTATCTTCAATTCTCTCATCAGTGTTTTACAGTTTTCATATTAGGAGCTGGCACCGTGGCGCAGTGGGTTAATCCTCCACCTGCGGTGCTGGCATCCCATATGGGCGTCAGTTCTAGTCCTGGCTGCTCCTCTTCCATTCTAGCTCTCTGCTATGGCCTGGGGAAGCAGTAGAAGATGGCCCAAGTCCTTATGCCCCTGCACCCACGTGGGAGACCTGGAGGAAGCACCTGGCTCCTGGCTTTGGACTGGCGCAGATCCGGCCGTTGTGGCCATTTAGGGAGTAAACCAACGAAAGGAAGACCTTTGTCTCTCTCTCTCTCTCTCACTGTCTATAACTCTACCTCTCAAATAAATAAATAAAATCTTAAAAAAAAGTTTTTATTGTAGAGATCTTTCACTTATGTCGTTAAATTTATTTATTCCCAGGTCGGGGGTTTTGGGTAGCTATTGTAAATGATACTGTTTTCTTGATTTTTTTTTTCTAGATAATTCACTATTGGCATACAGAAACACTACAGGGGGTCAGCATGTGGCCTAATGGGTTAAGCCACCACCTGCAACGCAGGCATCCCTTAGTGGTGCTAGTTCAAGTTCCGGCTGCTCCACTGCCAATCCAGCTCCCTGCTAAAGTGCCTGGGAAAGCATCAGAAGAGGGCTCAAGTCCTGCTCACATGTGGGAAACCTGGATCAATCTCCTGGCTCTTGGCTTTGGCCAGGCCCAGCCCTGGATGTTGAGGCCATTTAGGGAATGGACCAGCAGATGGAAGGCCTCTGTGTCTCTCCCTCTCTCTAATTCTGCCTCTCAAATAAATAAAATAAATATTAAAAAAAAAGGAAACACTACTGATTTTTGTATGCTATTTTGTATACGACCTGCAAGTTCGCTAAATCACTTATTAGTTTTACTGATTTTTTTGGTGACACCTTTGGGGTTTTCTAACCTAGAAGAGCATGCAGTCTGTGAACAGCGACAAATGGACTCCCTCCTTTCTGATCTGGATGCCCTCTGTATCTTCCCCGCTCCTGACGGCTCTCACTGGCACTTCCCTCCTCCTCGGAACACTTCCAGCCTTGCCTTTCACCTCACTTGCCTTTCCCGGCACCTGCTCTGGCTCTTCTCATGTAAGCTGAAATCCACCTACAGCAAGGGAGATGCGCAGTACAAAGGCTGCTCACGAAGAAGAGTAGAAGGGCAGTGCTGAGGGAGAGGCTGGAGACACTGACCAGGGCATATGACGCAGCTCGGAGAGCACAGCCAGGCTTTCAGAACTGACCTAAGCGGGGCCGTTGTTTAGAGGTGTGAAAACCAATGGCATGCAGACCATCAAATACTTGTAAAGAACCAATTCAGAAAGGGTGCTCACCACTGTTCCGGCCAAGGGGTCGTAGAACCGCTCAATGAGCTGCACCACGGTGCTCTTGCCGCAGCCACTGGGGCCCACCAGGGCCAGCGTCTGGCCCTTCTTCACCTGCAGGTTCAGCCCCTGCAGCACTGGGATGTCGGGTCGGGTGGGATAGTTGAACACAACATCCTTAAAGGTCATATTACCTTCCAACGTACCCTAAAATGAGCACAATGACAGGAATTTTGATTTTGCAATACTGAAAGCACATTGTATAGCCAACCCCCTCTAGCAACAGGTGTGAGAAGGCTGTGCATTCACATTACATCTATACACAATGAAGTCTGATTAACAGGATTTGCTTATAAAGTAGGAAGAACTCCTGCCCCCCTGGAACTCTGTACTGGATATTTGTATACACCTAGCTATCCACATATATATGTATATATAATATATATTAATACTTATCAGAATGAACCCATGATACAGAAAAATTTCATTTTATCATCAACATGTTAAAAAAAAAAGCAGATTCTATTAAATTCCCTCCTAGGATACTTGAAGTGTCAGGAGCAGATGGTATAGCTGACAAAGACTCACTAGCTTGAGGCCCTCCGTGCTGTAGCTGTCAATCTTTGGGAGTTTCTCAAGGATCATGATGATGTGGGAAGCCGAGATCTTGGCTTTGGCATAGTCAGGGGCAAATGAGCTGACCTGCCCGACCGCCATGGCACCAAAGACGACTGCTGAAAAGACCCTGGGAAAACAAAGGCAAAGCACGCACGCAGTCAGGACAGCAATACTAGAAAACTGACGCTTCTGCAACCTCAAATAATCATAAAACAAAGGTGAGAAATGTTTAAGTTTGAGTCTGTGACAAACTGGTCACAACATGGCCTATTTTTTTTCAGCTCTCTCTCTATCCTTACCTTTACTGGAAAGTGACCTCGGCAGCGCTTACACTTAGGAAGTGGACTTTGTTTTCCTACCCTTTGAATTTGGGTTGTCCTGGCGACTTGCTTCGGCCAACAGGATGTGGTGGAAGTCACTGTTACAAATTCTAAGCCTATGACTCAGGGGATCATGTCCCCCACCCCCTCTTTCTGAACTCTGCCACTTCCCTAGCCCAGGCTAGCCTGCCAGGGGATAAGGCACACATGGAAGAGAGCTGCATGGATCTCAGCAACTACCCTGCAGCCCACTGCACACACATGAATGGGCCCAGCTGAGAGTCACAATGCCTAACTCAGCACAGCATCTTCACAGCTGACCCACTGGTGGGCAAAATAGATGTTCACCTCGCATGCCACTTGGGTCGGTGGTTGGCTGTTATGCAAGATCACTGTGGCAACTGACAGTGGGTACGGTCAGTGCTGCTGAAATTCCTTCAGATCCTTAGAAAACCTGAACTGTGCAACAGAGTTGTGCACACTTAGATACCGGGCCATGATGGAGACGCATCTGCATTCTCAGTGTCTGACGTGAGAAGCATCACAGCTTAAAGCCAGACCTTACAGGTTTCAAATCCAGCTCTCAATGTTTGTGCCTGGACACTTCCCTTAAATTGCCTTCCACCCTGTTTAGGAAGTAACATGTTTGATTAAGTCTATTGTTAACAAGTTCTTTGACAAACTGAGACAAATCTACTTCCTTTTACATAAGACAGCCCTTCAAGTACGGGGATACTGTTAAAAATGTCCTTTGCTGCTTTGATCGCTTTTTCCTCTGCCCACTTCTGGACACTCGTATCAATGTGCTTTTCTTTTTCTGAAATACTGGGCCTGGAACACTTAATGCTTATGAACTCTGCGAGAACACTGGGAGTCCATCACTTCCTTCCTCTTGGAATCTATGTCTGTGCTAAAGCAGCAAGCAGTGCCGTTATTATTAATCAGCTGTAAATAACTCACACTCATGGAATCCTGGGCTTTTTATCACCTAAGCTTAGGGATCTTTCCCAGGTAGACTGCTTTTCTGACAGGACACCCTTTCACCCCCTTGGGAGACTGACTGCAAACCTAAATGCATGAGTGTCAGCAGCTTCCATCAATTCAAGTCCTGTGAGTAAGGCAATAAATCAAACAACTATCCAATCAAGGCTCCAATGCCAGTGATGTCTGCTTTTAACCTTTAAGTCATAACCACAAGTAGCACGTGCATATCATTGGTCACATATTCATATTAAGTGGAGATTTAAAATCTTTTGTTAGGGTCATCCTAACTACAGTGCATGAACAATGTCTAAATAGAGCAGAAATACTATACTAACTCATTATATTGCCATATGCATGTGACTCTGGTTTAAATGCAAAACCATAATGTTACAAATTTAAAGGGCAAAATCTTAGGAAAAGCAAATTTATCCTGGAGACTCCCAGGGCTTGCACAAGTTAGTATACCACATCCATACCCATCCTTCAGCTGTGCTGTTTGAAGGCTCTTTTATTTATTATTTTTATTTTTATGACAAAATACTCTGCTTATTTTTATTTTTTCAAGTAACTTTTTAATATTTATATTTGCCATATGTTGATCTTGTGTACACATAAGTGGTCAAGCCAACACAGGTAAAGAAAAAACAACTAAGGCATACACACTGGGAAGGAAGATATAAACCCATTTGTAGACAGTATGATTGTTTACATAGATAATCCTAAGGAATACAAAATCAAAGGTACTGTTGAGTTTATCGTGGTTGCAGTATATAAGCTAAATGTTCAAAGATCATTTTCTCTCCACATACTAGTAATGAGTAATTTATAAGCTTACAAAGAAATAACATGTACTAGGGTACTTCAAAAAGTCTGTTGAAAATTAAATTGAAAGAAAAGTTTATTTTGGTTCAAAAATTTGAAATCTATTTTTTAAACATATATTTTCCATGAACTTTCTGAAGCCCCCCCCATAAGCATTGGTTTTTAAATAAACTTATCTTTTAAAAAATTTTTTTAAAATCATTTTGGTAGAATATGAGCTCCCATCCTCTGGTTCACTCTCCAAATTCCCACAATGGCCACGGCTGGGCCAGGTTAAAGCCAAGAACTTGGAACTCATTCCCTGTCTCCCACATGGGTGGCAGGAACCCAATTTCATGAGTCAGGATCCGCATTAGCAGGAAACTGAGGCAGGAGCTGGAGCCAGGAATCAAACCCAGGAACTCTAATGTGAGATGCAGGCATCCTAACTGCTAGGCTAAATGCCTGCTCCCTAAACTAATCTTTTAATTCCATTTTTTCATGAATGTTATCACGTATCCTCATATAAAAGAGCCTAAACGCCCATGAAATGTTTAGAGATATAGTTTACAGCATAAACCTTGTACATATCTTATTTGATATAAGATCCTGGCTGACAGAAATCAAAGAACTAAATAAATGGAGAGAGATACTTCATTCTCAGACTGGAAGATTCCATTGTTATGGTGTCAATTCTCTCCAAATCAATCCATAAATTCAGCACAATCCCTAAATCCTCAAATCTCAGCAGGTATGGATTTTGTAGAATTAGAAAAGTTGATTCTGAAATTTATAAGGAAAAGCAAAGCAACAATAGTTAAAAAACGATTTTGATAAAAACAAGCAAAGTCAGAGGACTTTTACTACTTGACTTCAAGATGCACGCTAAAGGTACAGCAATCAAGGCAGCATGGAATTGGCAAGAAGATGCAGAAGTCAATCAGTGGAACAGAACAGAAAACAGACTCAGATTTATATGGTCAGTTGACCTTCCTCCCCACCCCCTAAAAAACTTTATTTAAGGAGCACAAATTTTATAAGCGCAACTTTAGGAATACAGAGATTCTTCCCACCATGCCCACCCTTCCACCCCTACTTCCACAACACCTCCTCCTCCCTCTCCCATCCCCAGTTCCATTTTCTATTAAGATTCATTTTCAGTTAACTTCATACACAGAAGACCAACTCCATGCTAAGATTTCAACAATTTGCGCGTGCACACACACGCACACACACACACAAAACACTAAGAACAAGTTTCACAGTTAAATAGAAGTCTCTTGTAAAAAGACCTACCACACTCCTTGCTCAGGATTAAGCATTTTCCCCAAACACCAAGGCCTTCTGGAAACCTCTGAACAGAATCAGCACCCTGCCTCTCCCTGGAAGACTCTGAACGGTCAGACATGTGCCAGGTCCGCCCTGGCGGAAGATGTTCCTGAGGCCCCGAATGAGACAGGCTTTCTACAGAGCAGGAAACATTCACCCCATTTTATCTGCAGGGCTCAACTGTAATATTATCCAAGTACTTACAACAGAACATTTTCGAAGCTCATCAGTTCCCGTGCCACCAGGAAGGCACCAAATCGGAAACAGCCAGCATAGGAAAAATACATCATGGCCTGGGTGAAGGAGAATGTGATTCCAAAGATGTGTGCTTTCTTCAAGGAGTTTCTGGAAAGGAAGCATTGGAAAACTGAGCAGCCCTTCATTCCTAACCCCTAAATGATAGGCGGACTGGGGCGCAGAGGTGTAACCAGCT